ACTCGCACTTAGAGCCCTTGGTTAGTAACCGATGTTCCTCTAAAACTTTAAATACTGCTTCGAGATCCGCTAAATGCTGCTGCTTGTCGCGACTGTAGACGAGGATGTCGTCGAGGTAAACTATCACGCATTTATCTAAGAGTGGCCTAAACGCCTCGTTCATGGTCATCTGAAATATTGCGGGCGCGTTGGTCAGCCCGAAAGGCATCACCGTGTACTCAAACGACCCGTACCTAGTCCGAAATGCTGTCTTGGCGCAGTCCGATGATTCGACCCGAATCTGATGGTAACCCCCCCGTAAGTCTATTTTCGAAAACACCCGTGCTGTTCGCAGTTGGTCGATCAGTTCGTCGGCGCGGGGAATGGGGTACCGTGACTTGACTGTTACCCTGTTGAGCGCTCGGTAATCGATGCACATGCGAAACCCTCCGTCTTTTTTCGGTGTGAACAGTATCGGTGCGGCGAATGGTGACGAACTTGGTCGAATAAACTGCTTCTCTAACAAATAATCTAACTGCTTCCTCAGTTCGTCGAGCTCGGGCTGTGTCAGTCTGAACTGGCGCTGTACAGTTGGCTGTGCCCCCGGTTCTAACTCGATCCTATGATCATGCGCCCGCTGAGGTGGCAGCCCTTTCGGTAAGTCGTCTGGAAAAATCCCTGGGTACCGTTTCAACAGTTCCTGTAGTTCGGGCGGTACTGCTGCCAACAGTTTCTGAAAATCGCTCGGCTGCTCCCCTTCTCCTACTAATGCTATATCTACGGCGTACACGTCAGCTCCAGCGGCGACAACCCGTTTCATCGTGATGGCGTTGACGTGGACCGTTAAAGACTCGGACGACTGCCAGCGAGGTAGCATGACCCAGTTACCGCTACTTCGCACAGTGCAGCTACCCATCGTCCAGTCAATTCGTTGGTTGTACCGTCGTAGCCAATCACGTCCCAGTAAAACATCATGCCCATCCAGTGTCGTCGCGAGCATTTCCTGTGTAAACCCGAAGTTTCCCCCGCAGCGAACTTTTACTCTCTCCACCTTCTCCCGTATGGCCAGCGGCGTGCCGTCAACTAAGCGTGCGTCGATCTCGGGTAAGCAGCGACTAAGTGTCAGTTGTAACTTTCGCGCAGTTGCGGTATTAACTAAACTGTGGCTTGCTCCTCCGTCAATAAAAATCTTCACTGCTGCTCCCTGTATTTTCCCGTGGATCAGTACTGGGCAATCCGTCGTTGTACCCTCCTTATTCATCCGAGTCCGATCGATGGCGTGAATCGGTACTGTGAATCGGTGAGGGTCGGTGCGGTTGGGCGAGCAGGCAGTCTCGTCAGTAGTTGGCCCAACTTCTACTGACTGCTGGCGTTTCCCTGCCTTTGAGACTCCCTCCCCTGCTCTGCTCCGCGGCGCCTTAGCTCCTCTGGGCATTCGCTCTTGCGATGGCCCGGCCTGTTGCAAGCAAAGCAGCGCCCCTTAAACGGTGCGGCAGCTGCATTCGTTGCAACAGCGTTTACAGTGGCGTGCTCGATCGGTCCCCGAGGACGATGTCCGTAGTAGGACCCCGGTCTCGGTCGGCGTAGAATGTCGATTTTCTCGGCGAGCGCGAGAATCTCGTTGAAGTTTGAGAGTCCGCGCAGCATGATTTCGTGCGAGATATCCGGCTTCAGCCCTCCGACGTAACGGTCCACCCGCTCCGCTTCGTGCATGTAGCCGACCTGCTCGCAAAGTGCGAGAAAACCGCTCGTGTAATCTTGAACCGACCCGAGCTGCCGCCAAGTGCGCAATCTCTGACGCGCCAAAATAGAAGCCGCGATCGGCTCGAAGCGCGCCCGAAGCCCTGCGCACCACGCATCCCACGTGCTGTATTGGGCGGTCTTGCAGAATGAACTCCAGGTGACAGCTGGACCCGTGGGCCCTTCCTCTTGCGACGGTGGCTCGTAGGCGCGTGGCGACGTCACGATGACTCGCCACCAGTCCATGGCGGGGCCCCTTAACAGCGAAACGGCATACCGAATCTTCGCTGCGTCCGACTCGACGTAATTCGCGTCGAAGAAGACGTTCATCGTGAAAACCCACGATTGAACCATCGGACCTCCACGCTGGCTCGGGTCGAAACAGGGCGGGCGTTGCGGCTTGAGTGGCATTGGTGCCATGATGGCCTGTTCGCCACTTGTCGCCGCGAACTCCACGTGCCGACGGGCTTCGCGAGGCTCCCGCGGGCTTGGCGCGCCCCTGTTTCCTCCCATGCCAGGCATTGGTTGGGCGGCGCTATCACTGGCTGCGCCCGAGCGCTGTCCCACGCTGTCGTGTTGTGTTGGTGTCCCGGACGAGATGACGATTGGCTCGTCCGATTGTGCAGGTGCATTTGTTGGTGCGTGTGGTGCTGCTGGAGTGTTCACCGTTGATTGCTGACGCGCGGAGTCACGTTCCGCTGTGAGCATCGCAATTTCGAGCGCCGAATCTTCGAGTTGGCGCACCAGACGGTCGAGCTGCTCCTGCGTCAGTGTGGCGAGCGTGAATTCGGCCATGGCGGGGGTGTCGGGCGAGCTCAGCGAGAGCCTCAGTCGTGGCCGTGCGTGCTTACGAGAGAGCACTACGAGCGGCGGTGCTGTGTCGCTGAGAGACGTCTACCCCCCCCAAAAAACTGAGATAGTGGGGAAGCGAAGGTGTGGGTGCGGTCCGAGAAGAGATCGTAGGCTCTGAATACCAAGTGTTACGAGTGCAATTGAGTGGACGAACGAGAATTGCACTATCGAAGCAAAGAGTACAATGAGCGAAGGTATGAGCGAAGAATATATAGCAAAACTACAGTGGTAACGGTAATGGACTGTGGTTGTCGCGCGACGGGCCTGGGACTGAGGTTGGGAAAAAGTGTCGAAGCGGAGGCCCGGAGCGCGGGTTACCCGCCGAGTCGTGAGGTCGGGGTGCGATGTGCGAAAGTGGCGGGTAGATTGTCGATGCGAGGGTTGCGAGTGGTAACGGTGCTGACTGTGGTGCTACAGTGACGTACGCGTTGAGCAGGGATGCGAAGTAAGGAAAACGAATTTTCCTTAGTACAGCATGGTATTTTTCAAGTTCAAGATTCTTGAACTTGAAGTCGCTAAAAACAGGGTTACCCTCTTCTGTTTGAAAGAACTCTCGCGACCCAGGGGAAACATCTTGCGACGGTCATTCCTGATTGGTTCCTGTGCCCAGTCGCACAACAGATGCGAGCATCGCCCACCAGCTTGCCGTGGTCACCTCTCACATAACTTGACGACCAAGTAGTACTCCTAATCCACTAGGGTAGGCACGTAACTAGGGCAGGAATTTTCTTTAAAACCCGAGTACAGCATGGTATTTTTCAAGTTCAAGATTCTTGAACTTGAAGTCGCTAAAAACAGGGTTACCCTCTTCTGTTTGAAAGAACTCTCGCGACCCAGGGGAAACGTCTTGCGACGGTCATTCCTGATTGGTTCCTGTGCCCAGTCGCACAACAGATGCGAGCATCGCCTACCAGCTTGCCGTGGTCACCTCTCACATAACTTGACGACCAAGTAGTACTCTTAATCCACTAGGGTAGGCACGTAACTAGGAAACGCGCGGCAGGGCGGTAAAAGCTAGTCTAGGTAGAAGCTTTTTTTTCCGTCCAGCTCTCGTCACTCCCGCTGTCAAGCCAATAGCTGAGCAACACCCGCTTCTTGCCAAACACGTTATTACCCTACTATTTTCGCATGCCGGCCACAGGACGCCCGTTCTAGCGCACCACAGGAGGGGAAAGGCTGCTGGTTACCTCCATAACAACCCCCGCAACGCATTGGCCAGCATAGCATGGCCCGCCCAATAAACTCTTTGCTTCGATCCGCCTTCAGGCCACATCTTTGCCTCGTCTAGACACCCACACTTAGAGCGTGTTCCTGCGGCCTCTTGTCAGGCAGGGCCTATGATTCACTTTTACGCACGTAAAGGCATCAGGGTCCCCTTGTGTAGAATCCCTGATAATCAGTGTCTCTAAAAAAAAATCCCTAAAAGTTCAGTGTTCCTTTCTAAAAATCCCTGATGCATCAGTGTCCCCATTTTCTAAACGCTGATACACTTCAATAACTAGAACACACTAACTAGCTAGCTTGCAAGCATGGGCGCAACAGCAGAGCAGAGAGAGGGTGCCAGCACGACCTGAACAAAACGTGCCACACGACAACAGGTGCAAGAAACCCTCGCACCGCACACTGCCAGCATTGCTATGCTGCAACCCTGTGATTGGTCACCCCATGCAATGATGAGAAACTTGTCAGAATCCAAACCACTAGACCATTGGGATAAAAGGGCTTGTTTGTGTAGCGGGTAAGTGCGCCCATAACCCCCCAGGCCAACGTGCCTGTAACCCTTCCCTAGGATCAATCGGGGATCACCAGTGGACCTCTGACACCCTCCCGCACTCAGATGACCGAAGTGCATACACCGGCATTCGAACCCGAGACCTTCGCTCTGATACCATGTCAGAATCCCAACCACTAGACCATTGGGATAAAATGGCTTGTTTGTGTAGCGGGTAAGTGCGCCCATAACCCCCCAGGCCAACGTGCCTGTAACCCTTCCCTAGGATCAATTGGGGATCACCAGTGGACCTCTGACAAAACTGGGCAACGATCGTTCCACGCGCGCCAAATTCAACAGTTCACCAGGTGTAAAACTCTGGTAAAATTTGTCTCGTTCTCACCGCCAGGTGGTGCTGGCGGTGAGTTGTTAGGCCTTCCTCATATCACATTTGGTCAAACTCGAGATTCTCGTTATGAAAACCGGATTTCAGTCTTGTATTGCGCGGAATGAAACAGAGCTCCTTTACCCGATGTTCGGGCAGTACAGAAAAGCTGTTCAAGATCCACGTGCCACCACCCACGCTAGTATTTTTCACGCTCGCTGCAAGACTAGAAATTTGTCCAATACGAATTCGCCTTACAATGAGAAATTTGTGATCGGGTGAGTCTGACTAGAGGTTGGTCTAATAGGGGCCCCGTAGGAACACGCTCTTAGTATGTGGCGAGTGCATCACCTCATCGTCCGCGCTTCCCTCGCGATTCGCGCAACCCCACGTTACGAGCGCTGCTGCACTCGCGCATGCCCTCGTCGCCCGCGCGTCCCCTCGTCGCCCGCGCGTCCCCTCGTCGCGCAATGTTTCCCCTCGTCACGGAGCTTGCCCTCGTCTCCCACGCTCACCCGCGCTTCCCACGCTTACCCGTGTTTCCCGCGCTCTCCAGCGTCACCCGCGCTTTCCCGCGTCTCCCGCACTTACCTGCGTCATCCCCACTTACCCGCGCTTAACCGCATTTCCCGCGCGTACCCGCGTTTCCTGCGCTTACCCGAGGTCACCCGTGCTTTCCCGCATCATCACCGCTTGCCCGCGTCTCGCGCTCTTTCCCGCGTGTGAAACGCTTACCCGAATCACCCTCATTCTTCCCTCGTCGCTTGCGTTGCTTCTCAACACCCTCGCCTCCCGTTGTCGCCTCTGTTTCCCCAATCCACACGCACTTCCCCTTATCCCCATGTCTATCCAAGTCGCCACTCCCCGTCGGTAGCGAAGGCCCCCACACACCACCACCATTCCCCCCACTTGTCCGCCTCCCTTTCCCCCCACACACCACCAGCATTCCCCCCACTTCTCCGCCTCCCTTTCCCCCCACACACCACCAGCATTCCCCCCACTTGTCCGCCTCCCTTTCCCCCCACACACCACCAGCATTCCCCCCACTTGTCCGCCTCCCTTTCCCCCCACACACCACCAGCATTCCCCCCACTTGTCCGCCTCCCTTTCCCCCCACACACCACCAGCATTCCCCCCACTTGTCCGCCTCCCTTTCCCCCCACACACCACCAGCATTCCCCCCACTTGTCCGCCTCCCTTTCCCCCCACACACCACCAGCATTCCCCCCACTTGTCCGCCTCCCTTTCCCCCCACACACCACCAGCATTCCCCCCACTTGTCCGCCTCCCTTTCCCCCCACACACCACCAGCATTCCCCCCACTTGTCCGCCTCCCTTTCCCCCCACACACCACCAGCATTCCCCCCACTTGTCCGCCTCCTTTCCCCCCCACACACCACCAGCAATTTCCACTCCCTCCTCCCTGCTTCCCCACTCCCTCCTCCCTGCTTCCTCCATCCCTCCGCCCTGCTTCCCCCCTCCCTCCGCCCTGCTTCCCCCGTCCCTCCGCCCTGCTTCCCCACTCCCTCCGCCCTGCTTCCCCCCTCCCTCCGCCCTGCTTCCCCCCTCCCTCCGACCTGTTTCCCCCCACCCTCCGCCCTGCTTCCCCCCTCCCTCCGCCCTGCTTCCCCCCACCCTCCGCCCTGATTCCCTCCTCCCTCCGCCCTGCTTCCCCCCTCCCTCCGCCTTGCTTCCCCCCACCCTCCGCCCTGCTTTCCCCCTCCCTCCGCCCTGCTTCCCCCCACCCTCCGCCCTGCTTCCCCCCTCCCTCCTACCTGCTTCCCCCCTCCCTCCGCCCTGCTTCCCCCCACCCTCCGCCCTGCTTCCCCCCTCCCTCCGCCCTGCTTCCCCCCACCCTCAGCCCTGCTTCCCCCCTCCCTCCGACCTGCTTCCCCCTTCCCTCCGCCCTTTTTCCCCCCTCCCTCCGCCCTGCTTCCCCCCTCCCTCCGCCCTGCTTCCCCCCTCCCTCCGCCCTGCTTCCCCACTCCCTCCGCCTTGCTTCCCCCCTCCCTCCGACCTGCTTCCCCCCTCCCTCCGCCCTGCTTCCCCCCTCCCTCCGCCCTGCTTCTCCCCACCCTCCGCCCTGCTCCCCCCTCTCTCCGCCCTGCTTCCCCCCACCCTCCGCCCTGCTTCCCCCCTCCCTCCGACCTGCTTCCCCCCTCCCTCCGCCCTGTTTCCCCCCTCCCTCCGCCCTGCTTCCCCCCTCCCTCCGCCCTGCTTCCCCCCACCCTCCGCCCTGCTTCCCCCCTCCCTCCGCCCTGCTTCCCCCCACCCTCCGCCCTGCTTCCCCCCTCCCTCCGCCTTGCTTCCCCCCACCCTCCGCCCTGCTTCCCCCCACCCTCCGCCCTGCTTCCCCCCTCCCTCCGACCTGCTTCCCCCCTCCCTCCGCCCTGCTTCCCCCCTCCCTCCGCCCTGCTTCCCCCCTCCCTCCGCCCTGCTTCCCCCCACCCTCCGCCCTGCTTCCCCCCTCCCTCCGCCCTGCTTCCCCCCACCCTCCGCCCTGCTTCCCCCCTCCCTCCGACCTTTTCCCCCCTCCCTCCGCCCTGTTTCCCCCCTCCCTCCGCCCTGCTTCCCCCCTCCCTCCGCCCTGCTTCCCCCCACCCTCCGCCCTGCTTCCCCCCTCCCTCCGCCCTGCTTCCCCCCATCCTCCGCCCTGCTTCCCCCCTCCCTCCGACCTGCTTCCCCCCTCCCTCCGCCCTGTTTCCCCCCTCCCTCCGCCCTGCTTCCCCCCTCCCTCCGCCCTGCTTCCCCCCACCTTTCGCCCTGCTTCCCCCCTCCCTCCGCCCTGCTTCCCTCCACCCTCCGCCCTGCTCCCCCCCTCCCTCCGCCCTGCTTCCCCCCACCCTCCGCCCTGCTTCCCCCCTCCCTCCGACCTGCTTCCCCCCTCCCTCCGCCCTGCTTCCCCCTCCCTCCGCCCTGCTTCCCCCCTCCCTCCGCCCTGTTTCCCCCCTCCCTCCGACCTGCTTCCCCCCTCCCTCCGCCCTGCTTCCCCCCACCCTCCGCCCTACTTCCCCCCTCCCTCCGCCCTGCTTCCCCCCACCCTCCGCCCTGCTTCCCCCCTCCCTCCGCCCTGCTTCCCCTCACCCTCCGCCCTGCTTCCCCCCTCCTTCCGACCTGCTTCCCCCCTCCCTCCGCCCTGCTTCCCCCCTCCCTCCGCCCTGCTTCCCCTCTCCCTCCGCCCTGCTTCCCCCCACCCTCCGCCCTGCTTCCCCCCTCCCTCCGCCCTGCTTCCCCCCACCCTCCGCCCTGCTTCCCCCCTCCCTCCGACCTGCTTCCCCCCTCCCTCCGCCCTGTTTCCCCCCTCCCTCCGCCCTGCTTCCCCCCTCCCTCGGCCCTGCTTCCCCCCACCCTCCGCCTTGCTTCCCCCCTCCCTCCGCCCTGCTTCCCCCCACCCTCCGCCCTGCTTCCCCCCTCCCTCCGACCTGCTTCCCCCCTCCCTCCACCCTGTTTTCCCCCTCCCTCCGCCCTGCTTCCCCCCTCCCTCCGCCCTGCTTCCCCCCACCCTCCGCCCTGCTTCCCCCCTCCCTCCGCCCTGCTTCCCCCCACCCTCCGCCCTGCTTCCCCCCTCCCTCCGCCCTGCTTCCCCCCACCCTCCGCCCTGCTTCCCCCCTCCCTCCGCCCTGCTTCCCCCCACCCTCCGCCCTGCTTCCCCCCTCCCTCCGACCTGCTTCCCCCCTCCCTCCGCCCTGCTTCCCCCCTCCCTCCGCCCTGCTTCCCCCCTCCCTCCGCCCTGCTTCCCCCCACCCTCCGCCCTGCTTCCCCCCTCCCTCCGCCCTGCTTCCCCCCACCCTCCGCCCTGCTTCCCCCCTCCCTCCGACCTGCTTCCCCCCTCCCTCCGCCCTGTTTCCCCCCTCCCTCCGCCCTGCTTCCCCCCTCCCTCCGCCCTGCTTCCCCCCACCCTCCGCCCTGCTTCCCCCCTCCCTCCGCCCTGCTTCCCCCCACCCTCCGCCCTGCTTCCCCCCTCCCTCCGCCCTGCTTCCCCCCACCCTCCGCCCTGCTTCCCCCCTCCCTCCGCCCTGCTTCCCCCACCCCCTTCCCTGCTTCCCCCCACACCCTCTACCTGCTTCCCCCCATCCCCTTCCCTGCTTCCTTCCATCCCCTCCCTGCTTCCCCCCATCCCCTTCCCTGATTCCCTCCCCCCTCTGCCCTGTTCCCACCTGCCCTCCCCATCCCTGCCTTTCCCTCCCTGCCCTGCCCTTCCCTTCCCCATCCCTTCTCAACCCTTCCCTTCATTTTCATGCCCTCCCCCCTTCCGCACTCTCGTTCCCATGCATGTGCACCCATCACTGTCTCCCCATACATGCTTTCATCATGTGTACTTGCTTGTATCCCCTTGCCGTTGTTCCCTTGCACCTCACACCACCTCCCCCATGTTTCTTCACACAATTCTTTCTGCCTACTCCACTCCCCTACTCAGCAGAGGAGCAAGCTGAGGCGCAGCTAGTCGATGCTTTACACCGTAGCACCGCCTGATTCTTGTGTGTTGTATGCAACAATAGAGCAGCCATTACTGTTGGAGATATCCATCTCAAAGGCACAATATGTACTTTTGTTTCTGCAGTGCAACATATTCTTACAAGATGCATGGACACTAAGAGTGTCAGAAGGGTACATAGAGGCATGTTCCTAATACTTCTAAATGTTGTACCTTTCTCAAGGCCTCGAAAAAACACGAGGGGAACTGGTTGCTCTACGAGCATGGCATGGGATGATGGGCTGAGGCGAGTTGCAGTATCAGAAAAATCTTCAGTGTAGTCACTGCAATAGCGAGGAAGAGGGAGACAATAAGAGGGATTGGGAGGGGGAAAAGAAAAAGGTCAAACAGGGGAGATATGGGACATATGGGAGAGCAGGGAGGGAAATGATGAGAAGCAGGGAGGGAAGGGAGGAGAAGCAGGGAAAAATGATGAGAAGCAGGGAAAAATGATGAGAAGCAGGGAAAAATGATGAGAAGCAGGGAAAAATGATGAGAAGCAGGGAGGGAAATGAGGGGCAGCAGCGGGGGAAATGAGGGGAGGTGGGGGGGGGAATGAGGGGAAGCAGGAGGGCACAAACAGGGACAGTGGGGAGGAAAATGAGGTGAAGCAGGGAGAGAAATGAGTGGCAGCAGTGGGGGAAATGAGGGGAAGCACAGGAGGAAATGAGGGGAAGCAGGGGGGAAAACGAGGGGAAGAAAGGGGGTAAAGTATATGAGGGGAAGCAAGGGAGGAAAGGCGAGACAGAGGAAAGGGGGAAGTGCGGAAGAGAGGAAGGGTGCAAGTGAGGAGATTGGACGATGATCAGGAGCACAGGAGAGGGGGTGAGGGATTCGGGGGTGCAGCCTGTTTTCCTGCATCGCCTTAAATCTCATACGTGGCATGTGTGGTCCTCCCCCCCTGTTGCTAGATGGTACCCGTTGGGGGAAAAGTCGCACGCTAGCAGCTGCAAGGGAGGGTGGGACAGGGAGCACAGGGAGTGAATAAGGGTCAATGCGTGCTTCCCTGCATCACCTCAGATCTCACATGCGGCATGAGTGGTCCTCCACTCCTGTGGCTAGTGTGGTATATGTTGGGGGAGAATTCGCATACAGGAGCTGAAAAGGGAGGAGAAGGGAGGGCAGGGGGAACACAGCATGAGGGATAGACGGGGGGAAGGGGGGACAAGGGAAGACAGGAAGGCCGGGGAGAACAGGGAATGAGGGATAGAACCAAACAGGGAGGGAGGGAGGGAGTGGGGAGCGCGTGTAGGGGTGCGAGTGGATAGGCAGCAGTGAGCCTGCCCCTATCCCACTCCTAGTCCTAGACCTACCCCCCATTCCTGCACCTGTCGTACCTGTCAGCACCAGCCGTGGCAAGGTTGGGGCCGGAGGCGGGGAGAGAGGAGAGCGCGTGGGGGTGCCAGGCCAGACATGTGGCGCGCTCTGAGTGGCCACGCAGTGCGCCCGCCGCCTGCACAGCTGGCTGCGACCAGAGGCTACAAGCGCCGCTCCACCCCGAGGTGGCGATAAGAGATGCGTCGGGGGAGAGAGCACAGGAAGAAATGGGGCGCTCATCGCCTATCTCTGATACCTGTGGGCGGGGGGGTGGCGTGGGTGTTGCGGGGGGTGGGGTGGGGTGGGGTGGGGTGGGTTGGGGTGGGGAGGAGGTTTGAGTGCGACCAGAGGCGGCACGTGCCGCTCCACCCGGAGGTGGCGAGGAGAGAGGCGTCGGGGGAGAGGGCGCAGGTGGAGATGGGGCGCTCGTCGCCTATCTCTGATACCAGCGAGTGTGTGGTGGGTGGGACAGCGAGTATGAGGGTAAGAAGCTGGCAGCGAGCACAGCTGGCAGCGAGCAGAGGCGGCAGGCGCCGCTCCACCCTGACGTGGAAACAAGAGAGGCGTCGGGGGAGAGGGAACAGGCGGGATGGGGCGCGCGTCGCTTATCTCTGATACCACCCAGTACCGCTCTCAACCCACCTGCATGCTCATCCCTTGCACCATGCCAATCAACTCCTTCGCCTCCGCTCTTCGTCCTCATTGGGATCCTTCACCTGAATTATCATTCCCTGCACCACTTGGTACAGCTCTCAACCGACCTGCATGCTCATCCCTTGTACCACGCCATCAACTCCTTGGCCTCCGCCTCCTCGTCCTCAACGGGATCCTCGCGCCACCGCTTCGCACGCCGAATCTCTTAACCCTGCCCGGGGCAGCGAAAACACCGCAATCTCCTGCAGCGCCAGCAGCAGCTCCTTGCTCCCCTTGGTATAAAACAACTCCGCTTGAGGCACATCCTCCATTTCGAGAACCTCCGCGCCGCCTTTCCTGCTTTGTCCGCATTTGGCGCTCGATCGCCTCGTAAAGCTCGTCGAGCCGCCCCTCGGCGTCTAGCTTAGCCATGAACGACCTAAGTCGGTCGCGCCGCTCCATTTCGCGCTCGCCTAAGAGCGTGATTGGCTCGCCGATCGCGCGGAGCTGCAACCGCACCGCCGTGTCGCTAGTAGGCACGCGAGCGCGGCGCTCATCTCCTCAACTCTCCAATGCTTCCTCAACAAGCGCGTTTCCCATATGTCCCCTTTGGCTTGCACGTTCCTACACACCCCTCCGCTGTGTTGTTGACAGCTCCTGAGATAATAGCGTCGCCAGTATTCTGAGGTGAGCCTCGTGTCGAACACGTTTCCTTTGTCGCATCGATTTACCGATTTGAGTCTGAGTTGGTGTTGTTGGTAGCTCGTGCGGCGATGTTTTATTACTCTCCGTTAGTAGAGGCGAGTTGAGTCAGTGGTGAGGTGGAGACTTCGGCCACACTTTCTGTGCTCTTCGTAAGAGTGTGAAAGCTTCTGATTGGATAAAGTATCTATTCATGCGACTCAATTTTCGCACAGGGTCAGTGGGTATCGCTGGTTTGGTGTGAGCGAAATGCAAACGTGCGCGGAGGAACATAATCCTCGCCAGAGCCACACAACCGAAATAGGTTTCGCACACCCTCACCTACTGCCTACTTCAAATCCACATAACTTGAAAATTTACCATGCTAACCCCGGGCTTTAAGTGTAGGCTGTGCCTCAGACTTGTATCGGGGGTACACTCTGCGCGCTTATCGAAGAGAAGTTTCCTGGAAGTTTCCTTTCAATATGCCCACTTCCGAGATGGCAGTGAAGTGCCAGGACGTGAGCAACGCACACTTCAACAGCAGGGACATCCGAATACACTCGTTCGTCGAGAATATCTTCCACTTACGCTGAGGAAATGGTTGCGTGATTACGGGACTATTAAGACAAAATCTCGTCACATGTACGTGTGAAGAAATGAGGAAGGAATGAATGAACTAGCAAGCAGGTGGGTACAAGTAGGAAAACCTAATAGTGTTGTACCCCATATTGTCTACCCCACTACAGCCTACACAGACTATAGCATATGAGTTTGACAGTAAGTTATTGCTAATGTATTGCAAAGAATAGGAGACTTTGATGTTGATTCGCTGTAAAACCATCTGCAGCACGCACTCCTGTGAAATTGCGAAGTTCCTGATTCGTAGTGAAAAGTTTCGTGTGGCATTACCTGATGCTCACACGCCACGCCAAGCAACAGTTTCTGCCTGCTGACAGCTCAGCTGCGTGGCATTTGGCCCATCTGATACAGCTCGGGTGAACGATCACATCGCTAGAAACGCAAATCCAAAATTGACAAAATTGGCACACATGCGAGAAAATGGGTACAGAACGGTAATCACACACACGACAAAACGAAATGAGATTAGTAGAAACAACCATGCGCTGCACGTGACAAAAACACCAGAACGCCGCCGACCTGAGCAGTGGTGTGAGAAGAAACGAGGAATGAAATGACTAAGTGAAAGTTGGGTACAAGAAGCAAACCCTAGAAAACTGTACCCCATATGTGCTACCCCACTATAGCCTACAGTAGCTATGTCATATAAATCTGACACACCCCCATAGGCAAAGTGGGGGAGAACAAGGGGTCACAAGACCAGTCAAGCAAAGCAAAGCAGAAACAAGCTCAGGGTGGATCACAAAGTCACCACACATTCCGAGCACAAGTTCAAGGCCACAAGGCCAGTTCACAAGCAGGAGTACACATATATATAAAAAAGGCTAGACAAACAAGAGCAGGAATATATATGTGTAACAGTACAAGCAAGGCCAAGAAGTGAGCAAGTGAGGCAAGGTAGGCACAAGGCCCAGCTGAGTACAGAAGCGCTGATGGTCACAAGGCGCAAGTGCCTTGGTGAAGATATCAGCAGTGTTGGCCTCAGAGGCCACGTACGCAAGACGCAGCTGACCACGCTGCTGTAGCTCACGAGCAAGAAAGTAGCGGAGAGCAATGTGCTTCATTCTGTGCTCCAGTCGCTGCTCCCGACACAAGGCCAGCATGGCCTTGTTGTCTACGTACAGCACTGGAGGAGAACGAGGCAACTCTCCGAGGTCAGTCAGCAGGTAGGTGAGCCAGCGAAGCTCCTGTGCAGCCATGGCTCCTGCGTAGATCTCAGCCTCACAACTGGAGCCGAGAACAGAAGACGAGCGAGTAGCCCGCCACGAAACAGAGCCGGAACCAAGGCTGAAGGTGTAACCCTGTGACGACCGCTGCGTAGCCTGGTCGTCAGCCCAAGAAGCGTCTGCGTGCCCAGTGAGGACCACTGGACTCTGCCCTCCAAGCACAAGCCCCATGCCCGACGTACTGCACAAGTAGCGCAACACCCTCTTCGCTGCAGCCATGTGCTCCGGTCTGTGTCTCCCAGGAGCAACATAGCGTGCAAGAATGCTAAGAGGGTATGCAAGGTCAGGTCGTGTGCAGGTCATCAGGTACATGAGGCAGCCAACAAGCTCTGGGTACGGGCCACTCGACTCTACGGACTCATCCGAAGGCAGAGCTGAGAGCGAGTGGCGAGTAGGCAGAGGAGTGGCCTGAGGCGAGGAGTACGTGAAGCCGAAGCGCTGAAGGACCTGCTGCACCATGTGTGACTGAGTCAGGGTAATGGTGCGGCGTGCTCTGTCCCGAGTGATCTGCAAGCCAAGGTAGCTGCGCAGTTCACCCAGGTCAGTGCACGTGTGTCTCTTCTGCAGCTCGGACTTCACGTGGGCGAGTCCAGCAGTGTCAGCTGTGGCAAAGACCAAGTCGTCGACGTACACGAGGATGTAGAACGGCGGCAAAGAAGTGTCGGTGCGCAGAAACAGCGACGGGTCGGCAGTAGAGGGAGCAAACCCAAGAGCCGCAAGTGTAGTCCTCAGTGTGTCGTGCCACTCACGCGGTGCCTGGCGGAGACCGTAGACTGGCCGCCGTAGGCTCCACTGGGTGCCAGGAGGAAAAGACCCAGTGAAGCCAGGTGGGCGACGCAGCCAGATCTCCTCGTGCAGGCTGCCCTGCAAGAAAGCAGTGCTGAAGTCAAGAGAGTGTAGCTCGTAGTCACGGTGAGCAGCTACGTGCAGCAGTACCCGAAGAGTGGTCATCTTCGGGGTGGGAGAGAAGGTCTGAAAGTAGTCAACTCCCTGCCGCTGACTGAAGCCACGAGCCACGTAACGCGCCTTGAAGACAAGCGGAGAACCCGGCGGTCGCTTCACCCTGAAAATCCACATGCCACTGACGATGTTCGCCCCAGGAGGGGGAACAGCGTCAACGTAGGTGCCTGTGGACTTCCAGGAAGCCATCTCTGCGTCCATAGCTGCCTGCCACTGAGAGGAGTAGGGACCCTCTATCGCCTCCGCGTAAGAGCGCGGAGTCGGGATGTCAAGTGCATCCGGGTCTCCCTCAGGGGTAAGCAGTACGGACACGAGATGAGGTGAAGCAGCGGCCAAGCACTGGAACTCCTCCTGCCTGTCCTCAAGGACGTCCGTGCCAAGGGCACACTCACCCCCGACGGACGGAGGACAGACAGACTCAGACTCAGCAACAAGACTGGCGACGTAGTCTAGGCGACAGCGAGCAGCAAAGTCGACGAGCTCAGCAACTAGAGCAGACGCAGCAGTGGACTCAAAGGAAGGGTCAGTGACAACCGTAGCAAGGAGACGCGGGACAGTAGAACTGGCAGCGCGAAGAGAGTCCGACTCCGGGTCGGCAAGAGTAGGAAGAGAAGACTCAGGAGGAGAAGGCAAAGGGGCACGCAGAGGAGCAGTGGACGGACGCAGAGACATCCGGTGCGTGCCAGGGACAGGAGGAGGACGCTGACGCGAACCGCGACCACTAGTGCGAGCAGCACGGACAGGCGACGCAGGGCGAGACGCAGGCTCACGACGCTCAGCAAGACCTCCAGTAGGACCAGTGTAGGGAGACGGAGCAGGCAGTGGGGAGGCCGGCTGTAACTGTAACTGCGACGGGACAGGCTGTGGACACTCTAAGGGAGGAGGAGGACCAGTAGAAGGCGGGAGACCAAGAACCTGCTGAAGGAGCGGAACGAAGTACGGCCGAGGCCGCGCGGCGACTCCAGACACAGGAGGGACAGCACCAGCACCCGCAGCAGCTCCAGCTCCAGAACCCCCAGCAGCACCAGTAGTACCCCCAGGAGGACCGCCTCCAGGACCGACAGCAGTAGCCTCCGCGCCAACACCCGCAGCAACTCCAGCTCCAGAAGTACCCGCAGGTCCAGCAGCTCCAGTACTCCCAGTACGAGCACCTCCGGGACCCGTGGCACCAGCTCCCTCAGAAGCAACAGAACCTCCAGTACCCGCAGCACCTCCAGCTCCAGCAGCTCCAGCAGCTCGCCTCCAGCGCCGGGCAAACCACTCACGCAGCTCCTGGGGAGAGAGTGGCTCTCGGCGAGAGGGAGCACCCGGTGAACCGCCAGGCACAGCACCACCAGGCGTAGCACCCCCAGGCTCAGCACCTCCAGGCGTAGTACCCCCAGGCTCAGCACCCCCAGACGCAGCACCCCCAGGCTCAGCACCTCCAGGCGTAGTACCCCCAGGCTCAGCACCCCCAGTCGTAGTACCCCCAGACTCAGCACCCCCAGGCTCAGCACCCCCAGGCTCAGCACCCCCAGGCGTAGCACCCACATGCTCAGCACCCCCAGAGTCAGCACCCCCAGGCTCAGCACCCTCAGCAGCACCAGAGTCACCAGCGACCTCGACAGGCTCAACAGCGTCTACCTGGGACACACCTGAAGGGGCAGGACCCTGAGGGGGGAGGGGGTCTACCGGGGGGGGACCTGGTACAAGGAAGAGCGGTGGCGGGGGGAGGGACGGAGTGCGGTAGGGGAAGAGGCGGTAGTAGGGGACCGACTCGTCGAACGTGACGTCCTGGGAGGACAGAACACGGCGAGAGGTGGGGTGGTAGAACTGCCACCCTA